GAACCTTTATAGAAAAGCAGGCGGTTAATTGTGAATGATTGGTTCACATTCCTAGATAATAATAACAATAATAATAATAATAATAATAATAATAAAAATAGTAATAATAATAAATATCTCCACAAGAAAGGGAATATATTAGTATTTTCTATAATTTTGAGAAGGCCCATTAACATTCAAATAGTTCTTCAGACGAAATAACATTATTTTTTCAGATAAGGATAGACCAAGAACAAAAAAAATATTCGCTGAATTTTTATTTGTTGCTATCAGTGTATATCATTAAAATTTTATAATTATAAATAAAAAATCTTTTATCAATACTCGCAAAGCTAACCTTAACCCTAAAACTGACCTTCGACATAAAACTAAATTATATATATAGTTTTTAATGGTCAAGTTAATTTTCGTTTATTCTTTAATACGGTAGCAGCAGCAGCCGCTTAAGTCAGCATTATTTATTACCGCCTTTTTGTATTTTTTACTACATCATAAAGTTTATAACCAGTAACAAAATCTTCTACAGAAGGTAGCGACGGAGAGGGAGAAGAAAAAACTAAACATAAATTACAAGAAGAGAGAATGCATGGTTTTATCGGATCGTATAATTTCGTTGTCTCTTTGATTTCGTTAACAAAATAACTGTCCTGGCTATAACGGAATTTTTCAATTGAAACATAACCCAGTGCACATGTTAGTACTTCCTTTACTTTTTCCACGAAGTCCTTCCTTGCAGATTGACCATAGATTCTCAACTGGATCTAAATCAGGAGAGTTTCTGAGCCAGTCAATAGTACTTTGCTTTTCTTACTGGTAAAACTTGCCGGTGTGGTCGTGCAGCGTTACAATGTTCGTTTCCTTTAAGTAACGTCCATCACAGACCAAGGCCGTAGTCACATCATCTGCAAGTAGATCATTTCTCCCGCCAGGATTTTCTAGTAAGGACAGTTGTTAAATACCCAGTAGAATTAAATTATGTCAAAAGTAAATGCGTCTTTGGCCATCCCAATTAGTCTTAAATGACATTAAGCAACCAGAAAATAAAAAAAATATTTGATGTTTGGGAACAGAAACAGTTTCGGATGAAAAGGGTTAAAAATTAGAAATATTTTTGGATCATGATTCTTGGAATTATACACATTCGTAATATTTTCGAAATTCTAGACATTTTCGATATTTTTCATTTCTGGTAATTTAAAATTCTTCGTAGGATGAGTATTCCTTCTTTTGGTAAATGCATTTCGTGAATAAAACACGTCATTCATATAGAATTTCTAACTAGTTGTCGAGAAATTTTATGGGAAATTAATCTATTGCCTATAACACTGAAAATAATCATTAATATTTCAAAATTTTATCGGATAGCTGAATTTCATTTTCGTGGCTTTCATATTGTTAACAAAATAAACGTGATAATTGAGTGGCAGTCGACCTGTTGATATGTCAAGTCACTTTCCAATTGCTAGTAGTCCCATATAAACCAGTACAACCTAGTCGGGTCATCGGCGATTAAACCTGTTCCCCCACCAGGCTTTTCTGGTGAGAGAGGTTGTTAGACCCCTAGCAGGATTAAAGAGAAGATCAAAAGGCAATAAACCTCTTTGTAGGGTCAACAACCATCTAGTACAATGGCGTAGACGGGGCACTATAGCTATGGATGTAGGCAATGTGGTGACACGATATCAATGGAGGATTTCCTAGACTGAAGACAAAGGCCAGAGCAGAGGCGTATCCCAATGAAATCAACGGCCATAAGCTATAGTAATAATAGAAATATAGCGTCATTAAGTACTGCATAACAAAAATATGTAAATTGCATGAGACAAAGGAAGAGACACTCCAACAGTTTTTAAGTTCCTATACACAAACACCTAAGCAAAATAAGGACTAAGTCCAAACTGCAGAATTAAGGTTCAACAGAAAGGTGACAACAATTTTTTATGGAATTATACCAAAAATAACCAGTTGGGAAATAATGTCGAAGATTTATTCGAACTGGAGAATCAGTTTTATTACCCATATTTGATTTGTTAATTTAACGGCATATCAACATCTTATGGGTCATTTAAAGTTGACATTTAATTTTCTTGGCAGCTTTGATTTAATTGAATTGTTTAACGGCACATCAACATCTTATGGGTCATTTAATGCCAAAATTTAATTTTCTTGGAACCTTTGATTTGTTTGGTTGTTTAACGGCATACCAACTTCTTATGGGTCATTTAACGCCGAAATTATATTTTCTTGTTTGATTTGATTTGATTATTTAATGGACTATCAACTCCATTATTTAATGACAAAATTTAATGTTCTTGGGCGCTTTGATTTGATTTCTATGTTTAACAGCATGTCAACTCGTTATGGGTCATTTAATGCCAAAATTTAATTTTAAGGGTGTCTGGTGATGTTGAATGTAAAAAATATATTCATCACCATCACCTGATAAGACACCAGAAGTGTTGAAACAAAATGGCTACTTTATAGTGATTTTGTAATATATTTATAAATTATAATGGCTCTACTCTGCATTAAGCAGTCTTTGAAGAATATTATTTTTGGTTATTAGAAATTATTCCCTACACACCACTCCTATAACAACTCGGGCTTTCTTTAATAGGATTTAACGTTACGGTGGAGTATGGATAGCGGCTTGAAGTGAGGGATCAGTTATTCCAGTCAGAGCCTTTACATTCACTTACATGTTGATGCCGTTGGGAAAGGTATGGGTCCTCTTCTTCTCCCCCCCAAGCTATGGGTAAATAGCAGGACAGCTTGGATGGCTACTGGTCTGACGCAAAAAGAAATAGCAACCTACTGCGGGAAAAATCGGCCTCGTCAGTCATATATCGAAAGATGCATGATCGCCTAAGCGTGTATCACGCATGGCCTCATAATTGACTGCAGGTAATCTCGGCCTTTAGGTCTTTTTCTTTCTTTCCTCATGCGAGATGTTCCCTTACTTTGGATGTTAGGTTGTTTCACAAATTGTCTGTTGATTCCACCAACGTCTTTGCTTTTTCTTTAATATATATCAATCAGCTGGGTATCTTCAACAAAAGACAGGGTGTCCAATATCGCAGAATGCAACATTGATGGGATTAAGACATTCCTGATGCAATCACAATCTTGCTGACACTTTCCGATCACGCTGGGATCGCTCCCTCCAGTACGATACAATCAGGAAGTCCCTCCTGACAAATCATATCTGATTAGATTCGAACCCGTGTCTCATGGTCAGAAAGCGAACGTGCTAACCACATATATACATGGTGGACTCTCCCGTCGTATTCCACGTATGATGGTCATGCAGGGTTCCTAAGAACCAACAACCAGACACCAACACATGTAATTTGATTATAGTTGGGAAGGCTTTGTGCAGAAACAACCACACACACACACATATATATATATATATATATATATATATATATATATACAAAGAATAATCACACATAGAATTAATCAGAAGTATCAATGCGATTATTGACGACATCCATCATTAGAAAACATAATATATGCATTAAAATCCTGTTCATCCATAGTGCGAGTATTGATCCTTGAAGAAAAACTTGTTGTCTGTAGTTTTTCAGTTTATTTGATGTTAAAATTCTAGTACTTACGGACAGTCTTCTATCCATCATCAGGCATGGGTTTTTTTCCCTATAAAATCAAAAACTTTTAATGCATATATTATGTTTTCTAACGATGGATGTCGTCAATAATCGCATTGATACTTCTGATTAATTCTATGTGTGATTATTCTTTGTATGTAAATCATATGCTGCCTAATGTTTTATGTTTATTAAAAACTATCGATCCGCAGTACATAAAAAAATTCCTATAAAAAATTACTACTATGACATTACACTATATTATTGAACTATATACTTAGTTCATGACATAAAAACTGAATACACTTGTAAAAATAGAATACGTGGATTTAACACATCACAAGAAATATTTAAATAAAATTCTCACTTAAAAATTTTGAAAAACTTAGCGTTGCGTCTTTGCACGTTCCGATATCTTACAACCGTCAATAATAGCAGATATTCAAAAAACATCTTTCGGTCGACATACAGGTACATCGTCTCAAGTTTTTGATTTTATAGGGGAAAAAAACACATGCCTGATGATGGATGGAAGACTGTCCGTAAGTACTAGCATTTTAACATCAAATAAACTGAAAAACTACAGACAACAAGTTTTTCTTCAAGTATCAAAAATCGCACTATGGATGAACAGGATTTTAATGCATATATTATGTTTTCTAACGATGGATGTCGTCAATAATCGTATTGATACTTCTGATTAATTCTATGTGTGATTATTCTTTGTATGTAAATCATATGCTGCCTAATGTTTTATATATATATATATATATATATATATATATATATATATATCTTCTCGCAAAATGCAACATTGTTGGAATTAAGACATTCCTGATGCAGTCACAATCTCGCTGGACTGGTCATGTTGCAAGAATGGGTGACTAAAGTTCTTCATATATAGTTATCTTGAGAGTGGACAACAGATGTTTGGACGGGCGTATCTCAATTATAAAGAAAAGCTAGTGAATAACCTTCCAGCAGTCAATGTGCCTCATACTAACTGCGAGCTTTTTGCTCTGGATAGAAATGAGAAAAGATATTTGTGCTAGAGTCATATCGGAAATGCTGAAATTAGTCGTATTGATTGGCTAAAAGAGAAAAGGCAACGGCGAAAAGCGTCAGCAAATATTCCTGTTACTATGTTCCAAGATCCTCACTGTTGCACGATATGTGGACTTGTATGCGGGTCACTAGAGGGACTGAAGTGTCACATACGACATAAAAACGGAATGAAGTTTTCAGATCCTCATACATCGAAATGTCGATCTATCTATCTATCTATCTATCTATCTATATATATATATATATATATATATATATATATATATATATATATGTATTGTGTGTGTGTATTCCTGTATTGTATCGTGCTGCTCTAAGTCTAGCTTACGGCCATATCACATTGAATCACCGGTTCTCATGAAATCACTGAACTTAAGCAACGTTGAGCCTGCTCATTACGTAGATGGGTAACCGCTCGGCAATACTAGGTGCTGTCAACATTGATGTATGTGTAGTGTAATGGTTAACAACTCGGAATGAGAAATAGGAAAGCCGAGATCGAATTCCAGTTGGGTTCGTTATATTCCCTTACGTGCAAATATTTTTGGCAATTGTATGAATCTATAACTTATCATCCCAGCTATGGATTAAATAGTAAGATGTGTACAAAAAAATCATTATTATCCCCCAGAAAATCTTACAATAAAAAAATATGTTTAGGCTTTACATAACCCTTAAAAGGTTCATAAATACTAATGGATAACTGTGATAATTAGCTGACTGACCTATAGAATTTACTAAGCGTAGCTTAAATGTGGCACAAGGCTGAAAGTACGGAACACCCAGTGAGGATCAAAGTCACTGCCCAGTCGTAATTGATCTCGCGAGACTAGCTAGCAAATCATACTACGATGATGTGTCCTTGCCGACTAATCTACACATGTAGAGAATTGAATGCTATCTGGGTAATGTTCATGTTTGACATTATCGTAGGCTTCGTAATGGCTGGAAAAATGTAGATATATTAACATATGTGTAATAAAAGACACTGCCTAGTTCATGAAGAAATTTTCATCATTCTCGTGTTAACTATGGGAATAAACGTGGAACCATACATCTGGAGAAAAAAATCTCATTTATTCTAAGTAAAGAATTACAAGAAAGACGAGCCGAAATTATAAGCTGGAAGCCATGTCCTCTCAGATATAGAGAATGGTTTCATTTCCGAAGAGAGAAAAAACACAAATAGAGAAAAACGAAATAGTAGTTAAATTTTCTGCATTTTAATTAAGGGGTCTTGAGTTGAGATTTTGCTGTCTTGTGTGTCATTAAAAAGAAATTATTTCATCATCTCATATATCCGAAAATGAAGCTGAGAATGAAACGGATTCATCCGCTGAAGAGAGAAAAAAATGGATGGATGAAATAGATGAATAAAATTAATGGATCAAAGAATTATTAATAAACTAGCAGCATGACCCGGCGTTGCCCGTGCTTGATTCAAAAATCGTACGACTCATACAGCAATCGCTATCACTTGACTAAAAATATTTTTGCCCTTCATTGCCTTTAAAGGAGTGCCCTTTGCCGTGCTGATGTGGCTACATGCCTTACTTCTTGCTTATCTCACACTGTGAATTTTTTCTAAGCTCTATAATAAACATTAAATCTGTTACGAAAAAAGAACTAAACAAAATGAACACAAAACAATCAGCTTTAAAAAAGGACTAGTAACTAGAAAAACCGAATGAAAAAAGAATGTTAACAACAAATACTTTTTCACACCCAACCCAGTTCTGTGGAATCAGAATCAACGTTGAATTTAAGCAAGCGAATGAACCAATTGGAGTAAAGTGCCATGCAGATTTAAATTTTTCCCATTTGTGACGAATGCAGCTATCGATTTTTTTGCATGCTAGTTAACATTCGTGTCAGTCAGCTGTTGGCTCTCACGCTAGCCAATAGAATCTTCCTGCCTATTCGTGGCAGCCAGCTATAGGCTTTCACTTTGGCCAGTGCAAAATGGCCGCAAACTACATGAAAACTGCCGTAGAAGCATGAAAAAATCGATTATTTCCACTATCGATAGGAGTTGGGAAATGCAACGTCAGTCTTGGTCTTTCCACTAACTTGGAGCATGTGCATGTAAATTTTGGTGAAAATCCGTCGAAAATTGCGGCCGTGCATTCGTTACGCACACACACTGCCTGCCTTTTATAGATAGAGATAGATTTGGCTATATAATAAGTGGCTCGAAAGGGTAATCAGCAATCCGGGTTCGAATCCCGGTCGTGTTTGTTACATAGACTTTCACTCAAATAGCCCTTGGAAAGGGGAGAATCCAGTTTTATCTGTACTGTTATCTGTACGGGTTAAATAACAGACCGAACTTTCCTCTTCGCTATTGTCAAACAGTCTATAATTTGAGCATGTAGATCTTTGCTTTTTTTATGCTAATCATTTCATACCAAGTATGAAATGATTAGCATAAAAAAAGCAAAAGGTAATAAAGCCACTAAGAAGAAAGGAGTTACTTAGTGGGAGAGAATACGAGAAAACAGATTATTAAGGTGAAAGAACAATAAAAACAGGATTTAAAAAGTCAGTTATATATATATAACGTCTGACACTGCATTTGAATGAGAAGTGCGAGAAAAGAAACTGTTAGTATAGAACATACGGATATATCTCGTTATGAATGTTAAATCTAGATCTTGTCGCCAATGTAGTACTGCGCTTAAATTCATAAAGTCTAGGTATCATAGAAGAAATTAATATTTATTTTCAAAATACAAAAGTGTGACACAAGGCCATAAGGAGGGATGGGGGAGGCTGGTCTTCAATCCGTCTTATCTTAAACTTAGTTAGCCACAAAAACTGACCCAAACATACCATAGCATTCCTTCCACCAAAACAACACATTCTTACTTCTTTTTTCTATGTGCCATGTCATCTCAGGACGTAGGCGATCATGGCTCTCCACCTCCTCCTATCCCTTGCAGTTCTCAACAAGTTCCTTCCCTCTGCTTCCTCCCCCAGAACACTTTCTCTCATCCACTTACTTCAGTCCGCCAGGTATGTCACGCGTTGTTTTCCCTTGTCTCCCTTTCCCTCTATTCGACCCGTGAGTATCAGATTCCCGAGGCCTTCCTTCCTCATTATGTGTCCCAGAAACTTCAGCTGCCTCTTCCTGGTTTTGAGTATAAGCCTCCTCCTTGTTTGCATCCTCTCCAAGACCTCATCGTTGCTCACATGCTTGGTCCATGATATCCTTAGCATCCTTCTGTAGAACCACATCTCTGTCGCCTCGAGTCTCTTCTTCATCTTTGAGGAAATCGTCCAACATTCGCTCCCGTAAAGAAGGATACGGCCACAATAATACCTAAAATCTCTATGAAGTTCTAACTCGTCCCCATATGTACAGTTTGTCTGTTGGGCGTTGGGAATAATAACAACATTTAGAAATGTCATGGGTATGACGATAATCTGAATCTGCGTCCTGGGGAAGACGATAAACTACGTCCAACAGCAAGACCACTGATGAGGGGGTGTTGAGGAGCGTGGTACCACCTCTTAATTGCTGGTATTTCCAGGGCCACCCTGACCCGGAGTGGTAGCACCTGTTAGGGTCGCAGCTATGGGCAATTAGTGAACACGCAAACTGATGTCAAAATACTATGAAAAGGTTTTAATACCAGAAATACTTCATGCAAAATTATTACCAGCAATACATTTAAATGAAAATATTACTAGCAATACATTTTTGAAAAAATTACAAGAAATAGTTTTTTTGTAGAAAAAAATAGACCAGCAATAAATTTTTTGAAAAATATATTGTCAGCAATAAATATTTTGTCGGCATTAAATAAGCCATTTAGGATGATATGCCGTAAAACAAAACAAACCAAAACAAAATAAACCAAAGAATACATATTCTATTCATACGAAATAATCCTAAAAACCTTGTTGGCATTAAATAACACATTGAGGTTGATATGCCGAAAAAAAAACAGAAAAAAAAACAAACTAAATCCAATGAATATTAACAGTATTATAGATGAATACTCATCAATTACCATGAACTTGTTTATAGAAAATGCACCGTGAAGCTACGTTACATCGTTAGGAAAGGGACTTGAGCCAAGATACCAGATCAGGACCAATAACATTGCTGATTTTTGTTTATATTTTACCAAGAATCACTACATACATAGCAAAAGCACCAGATAAGATGTGACAAGCAAAATTCAATCAATAGATGTTGGGTAGATAAATATGTAACATAAATTATGGTGAGAAAAATTGACTAACACGACACAGTGAACCAACTTTCCTTGCAGCAATCCTATCAATTGATTCAACATAGTTTTTCCATTTCATGTCAGCGTAAAACCTTAGTCCGAAAAGGCGCAAAGAATCCCTCTCTTCTGGAGATTAGCATTAGATTTGGAAACGTCAAAATTAACAAGTCATTCCTTGCCCCAGATAACAACAGATTGTAGGTCATTTTTAGATCAGCTACCAATTCCCCCTTATCGAACCAATGAGACTTAGCATTAAAGACAGAAAATAGTTTGTGTAATTGCAGAACAATTCACTGGTGGAAAGAGTTGGTTCTTCATTATGTAGTCTCGGCTCTATAAATATTTCTTTGGTGATATTTAAAGGATTGGGTATAAATGGACATCCGCAGATCAATTAGCTTGTGTCGTGATCTAATCCTTGCTAAACACACCATACATGGACTAAACTAAGCTTAGAAAATATCTGGAATAACCAGAGATGGCGCCAATGGTAAGAAAAACCGTTTCGCAGAATATTTAACTTATTTAAAAATATTAAACAAAATCTAGTAAATATTTAGGACGACAAAGAAAGAAAGAAAGAAAAGAAAAGAAAAGAAAAAGAAAAAATGTAGTCAAAATTTAAGACGACAAAGAAAGGAAGAAAGAGAGAAAGAAAGAAAAGAAACGAGGAAAATAAATCGAAAACGGAGAAAGAAAAGGTGTAAAGAAAACGAAAGAAAATAAATGAAGAAAAGAAATAACGAAAAAAAGAAAGTGAGTAAAGAAAAAGAAAGCAGGAGGAAAAGAAAAGGAATAAAGAAAAAGAAAGAAAAGGAATAAAGAAAAAGAAAGAAAAGAAATAAAGAAAAAGAAAGAAAAGGAATAAAGAAAAAGAAAGAAAAGGAATAAAGAAAAAGAAAGAAAGGTGGTAAAGAACAAGAAAACAAAAGAAGCAAAGGAATAAAGAAAATGAAAGAAAAAAGGAGTAATGAAAAAAGAACAAAGGAGAACGAAAATGTCTAATGTGAAAAGGAAGAAAAGGAAAGAAAAAAAATGAGGAAAAATGACGCGAAAGAGAAAGAAAGGAGTAAAAAACGATAGCAACCAAAAGAAGAAGAAAGGTAAAAAAAGACACCCCCTCCCACACGTACACTCAGGGTTTTAATGAGTTAATCTGGTCGATCATTATCACTGCAGCAGCATTGAGTTCTCTCCTCACTGGGTGACTCGTCTTTGTAGTGTTGTGCTTAACTAAACTAAGTTTAGAAGATGACATCCTAGTAATGGAGGAAAATAAGTGCATCCATAATTTCTAGAAAATTTTAATCTTTTCAAGAATAAATCCTATTCAGTTTCTTTCATCTACTACTGACGTACAGTCATTAGAAGCTAGGCTTTTGAGAGTCAAGGTTATATCTTGGACATATATCATTCAGCAAATATTGAACGGTCTAGCAAATGACAGATATTAATAACGCATAATTGGTTGGAGCATTCCCAGGGCCAGGTTCAAGGTACTGGAATCTCAGGCAGTCGCTTGGTGGCGCCATAAAGACCGAGGGCGCCAACATGCCGCCATGTTATGCGTTTGGGGATCTTCCAAAACTATCGCTTAGAAAAATATATTTACGGTCATCCAAGACCAAAAATAGTTTAAATTCTTTGGCTAATTTGTCAATAGAAAATAATTTTGTAAAGAATATCGGTGTAGAAAGTACCCTGAAACGGTTTACAAATTTAAAGGCTAGAAAAATATTTTCATTTGGATAATCAATGTATTTTTTTTGTTTTTTTTGGTTTTTGTAGTTTTGTTGTTTTTTTGTTTTTTGTTTTTATGATCTTGTGTATTTGAATAAATGTTATTCTACATTTTCGGTTTTTCTTATTGTGAAAATTAAAAGAAAATATATATATATATACTTGTAAGGGCGTCGAAGTTCAGTTTGCCCGGGGAGCAAGTAAGCCTAGGGCAGTCACTAGGTCTGCCGCAGTTTCCGTAGTCTACGCCGTGAAATGACATTTATCATGCGGTCTATATTTGATGGTGTGGATTTATTACTAGTTATTAACTATTTTTTTACCCTTCTAACCTGAGTCCGCCTGACCGGTCAATATAAAATGAGATTTAGCGTGCAGTCTAACTTTCATGTGCTACCTTGCTTTTATCCTTAGATCACAAGTACACTTGGGTTAACAAAATAAACGGCGCCCATTGATGAATTTCGATTTAACATCAAGAAGATAATTAGAGAAATAAAAAGGATTATTATAAAAATAAAATGACGATTGAAATATACATCCAGCAAACAATCCAATGATGTGGGTGATCATTGCTCTCCACAACTTCCTTTTTTGTAGTGCTTAGTAAAATTTTGGGGGATCTCTCTTAATCTCTGTTCTGCAAACCATTTACACAAGCTCATTAGGCAGGTTATGTGCTGTTATTCTCTGTCTGTCTTGTCTTCAATATGACTTGCGAGCGTCAAATTCTCTAAGTCTTCTTTCCTAAAAATTTCAACTCAGATTTTCTGATGCAAAGATGGTGCGCTAGAAATTCTAGCTTAGAAATTCATTATATAATCTGGCCAACGACATTATTCGCTACACTACGACCTCATTGAATTCTGTTGTTTTTTTTTTTCCAAATTAACAAATACTTTGAAAGGGAAAAAAATTAAATGACCCGCGACTACATTACTGAAAGGTATCCTGGAAAACTAGTTCAAAGAATATTTCCAGTAATGGCACCGTAGTTTCACAAGTGAATGGCTTCAAAGGTGGGGTTCTTTGAAGGAGATACGTCTAAGAATGAGTTAAGCTGTTGAAGAAAAGCTGTAAAAGTGGCGTTCTCCGTGTCACCTAGCACCAAAACTAAACTAATCTTTATGTCGACATGGAAAGCTAAAACAAATTCTTAGTAAAAAAAAAAGTTACCGAAGGAAGCTTATAAAGGAGCGTTTCCTTTTTAATATTTTAAATAACTACGAAAAATTGCGTTTTTAAACTTGTCTTGGATTTACAAAACACTTCGACAATGACTAAGAATTATTTTTTATAATTGTCTTTCTTTATATATATACCCACAGACACAATGTTTCGCCGTTCATCCGTGTAGTTAGACATCCGATTGCCTCAAGCCGGGATCGAAATTCGAATGATTTGGTATTAGTCGGAGACTCTACCACTAAGCCATTGGTACACAGCAAAGACAAAGTTGAATTTAGACGTATTTATTTTTAGACAAAAATGTCAGTGTTTGGGAGAAAACGATTCATCTTAACGAAGAGTCTTGCATCAGCAGCAGTATATTTATTTGCGTTGAAACTCACGTCAACAGAAATAAATATGTTAGCTCTATCATTGATATTGAGGGCTTTCCAATAAGTACCGTGCATATATAATATATAAATAATATATATAGGAATTGCGTATATATATATATATATATATATATATATATATATATATTGTGTATTTACGCAGTAATCCTTCATTTATGCATATCTCATTAAAAACGACAGAGAAGGTACTACGATGAAGCTTTTTGTTTAATATAAAATAACTGGCATCATACGAACATTAGATTCTGAGAAATGGTTAAAAAAATATTCAAAACTGATGGGTTTATGAATAATTTCGTCTTTGATTATATATATATATATATATATATATATATATGTGTGTGTGTGTGTGTGTGTGTGTGTGTGTGTATAAATTATTATTATGATAACGAAGACTTTAAGATTCATCAACTGGACAATTGTGTCTAGCATGAAACAAGCTGTCGACTCTAAGTGTTGACATCAATGTTCACTTTTATATTTATATATATGAATATGAAGTTTGGCAATTTTTACATGAATAACCCTGTTTCAGAATAGTTTCCTTTGCAGCTCGTTATTCTGAGTAGCTTCGCAAAGGCAGTGACTTGAAAGTGACAACAATTACAGGAATTAAAATAGCATGCCTCCTCGTATATGTGGAGTGCAATTTAGAAATACATTATGAATGTAAGAGTAGCCAGGGGTAGGAGTTCATGGGGATGTTACGGCGTGTTATCGTAAACGCCTGGAAACAGACATAACTATGTTACATGCCATCAGTTAATGGAACCACATTGCTACATTTTAAATGACATTTCCATGTAACTGTAGCGCCCACAACCGAATCAAATATCCCATCCCTTAGGTCTCATATGGAAGACCAAAAATCATAAATATTCTTTGAAAAACCGACAAAGGATTTTCAGAATGCTGTCATGATTTTTTATTTAGTCCGAACCAGACGGCTTGCACCTCACGTCACGACAACCGGTATTACTATCCATTTTGTTTAATTCAACACTCAATATATCAAATCACCAATTAAAGTCACCTCTAAGCCGTTGCGCCATCATTTTCATCGCGTGAAACTCGCGCGTTTGTCTTTGGCCTTCTTTCAAGGCTTCCAGCAACGTCAGTATTTAAATCTAATTGTTTCGTTTATTAGTCCTTCTATGGATGTTGTCCGTTAGGTTTTGTAATGGATTGCACATAGAAGATAATTATTACGATGACAAACACTTTGCGGACACGTGTTTGAATTGTTTAATGTATAGTCAAATGAGATTTTTAAAATCTTTTCGTTCCCAAACAAGGCGATAAAGCAACTAAGAAGCAAACGGTTGCTGAGTGTGAAAGAATATCAGGAAACAAAAAACATTATAAAGGATAGAGAAGAGTAAAAAGACAGGGATTAAGGTAGAAGATAACGATTGACATTGCATTTAAATATTTGTAGATCAACCTTGTCTGGAAAGTAAGAAGCCAGAAGAGAGTTCCACAAGAAAGAAGTGCGATGGAAGAAACTCTTAGCAGAGAACTTATGGTTACATGTAACCGTTTCAACTATCTATCTATCAATCTCTCTCTCTCTCTCTCTCTCTATATATATATATATATATATATATATATATATATATGTGTGGGGGGGGTGAATAAGGATTGACATTGCATTTACATATTTGAAGATCAATGTTGGCTGGAAAGAAAGAAGCCGGAAGAGAGTTCCACAAGCGAGAAGTGCGATAGGAGAAACTGCTAGTGGAGAACTTATGGTTACATGTAACCGTTTCAACTATATATATATATATATATATATATATATATATATATATATATATATATATATATATATATATATATATGCGTGTGGGGGAAATAACGATTGACATTGCATTTAAATATTTTAAGGTCAATGTTGGCTGGAAAGCAAAAAGCCGGAAGAGAGTTCCACAAGCGAGAAGTGCAATAGAAGAAACTGTTAGCAAAGAACTGTTCGATTTCAACTGAAGAAAATGTGAGATTTGCCGCCAATCATTTTCTTTTTCTTTGCGTCATACCCGTTCAGGACATTGGCATACATGGCTCTTCACAATTCCCTTCCTTTTGGAGCTTTTAGTAAATTTCTTTTTAATCATTGTAGCCCCAAACAAGACAAATTAGCAAGGGGTTGCCAAGTGCCAATGAATATGAGAAAAAATGTTATTAAGTGAAGAGAAAAAAAAAACAAAAAAAAAACAGGAATTAAGACGATGGAAGAAAACGATTGAGAGTGTAATTAAACTTTTGAAGATCAAACTTAACTGGGAAGCAAGAATCCAGAAGAGAGTTCCACAAGCAAGAAGTGTGACAGAAGAAACTGCTGGAACTTATGGTTACATCGAACCATTTCAACTTTAAAATGGCGAAATCTTGCCACCAATCTGGTACGACGCTTAAACGCATAAAATCTAGTCACCAAAGAAGACAGCAACATCAAAACGATTACCATGAAAATATTTATAGAAAAAAGCAGAAGAAAGCTACATTAAATTTCTTCTTTCACACTATTTTATCTTCTACATATTGTGTTTTCGTCATTTCACTGGAAGCAAGGCGATAAAACCGCTAAGATGCAATGAAGGTTACTGACTGAGAGAATACGAGACAAACGTTAAGGAGAGGGAACTATAAAAGAACAAGAATTAAGAAGATGGGAGATAGTGATTGACATTGCATTGAAATTTTTCAAGAGCAAAGTTTACAGGAAAGCAAGAAGTTTGTAGAGAGTTCCACAAGCAAGAAGTGCGATAAAAGAAAGTGTTAACTACTGATAATTTCTCAACTGTAAAT